CGTTCTCTTGTTTTCTTTCTAAATATTTTTTAAAGCAACTGTTCTACTACCTGCCTGTTAGTACCGGCCTGTAAGTGGAATGCAGCCATCATTAAAGTAATGATATACACCTGAGGCTTTGCTGCTGTTGCGTGTCAATATGTCTGCAGTGAAAAAAGCTCTGTTGACACAGAAACATGGAAACGGTTTCAATGTGTGTACGTACCAGACGATCTGCTGACACCTATACAGAGAGTTTAAACCATTAGATCCATAACAGATGAACATACTCATCAAGAAGTCCAGTATGACCATGTCTATGAAGTCCACCAGTCTGGAGCCTTTGTCGTAGGGGGGGGTCTTTTTCACCGTCGAGCAGTAGTCGGACTCTGTCTCCCACCTGAAACAGACAGATTTCCATTCACGTTAAATGATGATACGCCTCTATGTGTGTTTAGATCAGATTCAGACTGTGTTTTTTTTATCTCCATCACTTTTTCCTGGATGTACTATAACACACTGTGGTTATATAAATGCTGCTGTCACTGATAAGGACAGATTTAACCAGGAACAAGCAGGAAGGTGATGACAAGAATCTGGTGCAAGAATAAAAAGTTCAGATTGAGAGAAAATGTTTTTAATCATAAATGGAAGAAACTGATGATTTATGACACAGTGGAAAACGCATTAAGATGATATACTTGTATATGACCTTCGTTCATAATAGACACTTCTAACCACGGCTGTGATGTTTTATTTTCATTTTTGTCTTGCTCGATATCTCGGACTGACTCAGAGAATTCCAGGCGCTGGAGTCTGAAGAAGAATCAACATTTGCACATTTTCTTTCTTCTATGAATAGCAACTCTGCAAGTATTTCAAAAATGCATGAGGCATTGATTAATGATGATTTATTCATATCAGCTGCATCTGTAACCCCCAGTGAACAGCTACATTAGGTCCAGCAACCTTTTTATTGTTCTGGCGTCTTAGTGAGAAATACTGGAGGCATGCTGAGGAGGGATATATCGAATCGCTTCATATCATCCAGCTCACTGTTTCCTCTCCCTCTCTGACCACAGACCAGACAACCACTAACTTTGCCAGCTTGCTGCGGCTGTACGAGCGTCTCCAGGGGGATCTCCAGCTCCTCCGGGTGGCCAGGGACAGGTCAGGGAGCATGACGGCCAGGGAGGCCTCCAGGTCCCTGGGACGACCGCACACAGCATGTTCTGTGGAACAGTAGTAGGAGCACCGGCCATAGAAGCACACATTACCCACTAGGGGGAGCCAGAAGAGCATAGAAGGAGGAGAGGAGAGGAGGAGAGGAGGGGAGGAGAGGATAAGAAGAAACAGGAGAGGAGGTGAGGTGAGGAGAGGGGAGGAGGGGAGAGGAGATGATAAGAAGAAACAGGAGAGGAGAGGAGAGCAGAGGAGGTGAGAGGAGGAGAGGAAAGGCAAGGAGGAGCAGAGAGGATAAGAAGAAACAGGAGAGGGGGGAATAAGAGAGAGGAGAGGAAAGGAGAGGACAAAACAGGAGAGGGGACACGACAAAGGAGAAAATGGGATAAAATAAATTGTGGGGGATTATTACTATTGAGAATTAGAAGAAAGTAAAAACATTCATATACATTCATTATCAGTCGACATACAAAAGCAGTTTGAGTATAGAGAATGGAGGAGTGTGTGTGTGTGTGTGTGTGTGTGTGTGTGTGTGTGTGTGTGTGTGTGTGTGTGTGTGTGTGTGTGTGTGTGTGT